CCAGTGATTCCACTGCTGGGAATCTGTTCCCAAAAGAAGAAGAAAAGGCCACGTGCTCAAAGTGACACTCACACACAGTCTCTGAGCACAGACGCCATTGAGGACCCATTCCCACCTGGCTGAGCCACGGCTGTCGCCCAGGGCACAGGCCCAGTGTCCTGAGCCCTTCAGCCCAGGCCTCACCTCGCACTGGCTGTCCAGCTTCCTCAGCAAGATTTCGAAGTTAAGCAGGTTGTCCCTCGCCTCTTCATACCGGGCCTGCCAGAGCCTCACTTCCTGCTGCAGGTTCTCTAGGGACGTTTGCATGTCTTTGCTCTGGGTGCGCAGCTCCTTCTGCTCCCCCTTCACCAGTTGGATCCAGAAGTTGGCGCTGGGGGTGGAGAGTCACACGGCCAAGGGCTGAGGAGCACTCCCAGCCTCCGGCACAGCACCAAGGGGGGAAGACCACCCTGGACCCACATTGCATCTCAGGTTACTTGACTTCCAACCACAAGGCTCCCAACACCAAGGCCCTTCCTCCGGCCCCCCTTTGTGGCAGCTCTTAGGCCTGTCCACCAGCTTCCCATAAACACTCACTTCCCAGTGAACCCTACTCCTTAGCCGGGCATGGATGCCTTCCCCAGCTGAGCGCCAGCTGCTGCAGCCTTCCCTCCTGCCACTGCCTGCACCTTCCCTGCATCCAGACCACCCGTGCTCCATGTCCCCGCACCGGCCAGCCCTGTCCCCACCCGGGTCAGCAGCAGCACCCCAACTCCCACCACCATGCTTCCTTCTAGGCCTCTATGAAGCTCCTCAACATCTGTCTGCCGTGCACACAGCTCTGCTCACATCCCATCACGCCTACTAGTTCCTGGCCACCAGGTCACTGGTTCTGTGCACCTCGCAGGGCCTACACCAAAGCCAGGAATGTGTCATGTCGGCAGAGGGAGGACAACCAGGGTGCACCAACCACCCTCTCTCCAGCCTGTTAAGGGAAAATACACAGAAAGGGCTCGGCCCGCAATCTGAATTCCTTCCCTAGGCACCACTCTACCGCCATCATATTTTTAAATCTGAACTGAATCCAAAAGCAGATTAAGAACCATCTGGCAGTGGGCAGTATCTTTGAAAAGCCAACCATCCCTACTTGCAGAAATCTAGAACCGTTCCAGGAAAACGAGAGGAGGATGTGCTGGGAAGATGGTCTGACCCCTTCCCTTGGGACACCAGTGCGCCAGGGGGCTCTCTGCCCATAATGTCGAGACCCAGGCGCGGGGCTTGAAGCCAGGGCCCCTTCATGGACAGGGCAGCCCACACCCCTCACAGGTGCCGAGCTTTGTCTTCATTCTCATTTAGAAGCCAACTGTTCGTCTTGGCCAATGTCAAAATCCTGCTCCTGAGTTTATATTTTTCCTCTTCCAAGTTCTTCTTCACACAGACGTACGCCTAGAACACAGGTCAGCAATCTCTCATATACCATGCGCCCCTGTGATTCCACTGCTGGGAATCTGTTCCCAAAAGAAGAAGAAAAGGCCACGAGCTCAAAGTGACACTCACACACAGTCTCTGAGCACAGACGCCATTGAGGACCCATTCCCACCTGGCTGAGCCACGGCTGTCGCCCAGGGCACAGGCCCAGTGTCCTGAGCCCTTCAGCCCAGGCCTCACCTCGCACTGGCTGTCCAGCTTCCTCAGCAAGATTTCGAAGTTATGCAGGTTGTCCCTCGCCTCTTCATACCGGGCCTGCCAGAGCCTCACTTCCTGCTGCAGGTTCTCTAGGGACGTTTGCATGTCTTTGCTCTGGGTGCGCAGCTCCTTCTGCTCCCCCTTCACCAGCTGGATCCAGAAGTTGGCGCTGGGGGTGGAGAGTCACACGGCCAAGGGCTGAGGAGCACTCCCAGCCTCCGACACACGTGTGCACCTTACTCAAAACCTCAACCTCTCTGGGCCTCCGTTTTTCCCGTGTGTAAATGAGGGTTGAACAAAATCAGCTGTTTTCAAACTGTCCATTGGGGTTCTATGAGGCTAGCCCAGCTGCCCCCTCTGGGCTGGGGAGACAGGACAGGCAGGTCGGACACCTCTTCAGCAGAGCACCCTGTGAGACTCCTTCCCATGGAAGGACCTGCCGACTTGGAACCAAGGGCTCTTCGACTGAAATACTTTTGAAATACATGGCATCAGCACAATTTTGCTCTAAATCTGTATATCTATGCCCAGCTCTTCCGCACAATTCCCACCTCCTTTCTAATTTCACTCCTGAGACAAATAAAATATGAGATTCGGGAGTATTAGGTAAATCCACTGAAATCGTCATCATCGTCGTCATAACTGCCCGACTGGGTATCAGGGGGAAGATTTAGACCAGAAAGCTCACATGAGCAGAGGCTCATGGACTCAATTTGAACACAGATGTGCTCTGTTTGGCCCACATCATCTGTCTTTTTCGATTTAAATTAATTAGCTCATCAATATTTAAAAAATTAAGTTTCACATCAACATTCAGGTATCTAACTTCTCATAGGGTGGGGAGAAAGCATAAACAAAAGGCCCTGGCAGGTGTGGCTCAGTAGTTATAGCATCAGCCCATGTACAGAAGGGTCATGACTTCAAATCTCAGTCAAGGGAACAGACCTGGGTTGTGGGTTTGCTCCCCAGTGTAGTTGGGGTGTGTGCTGTAGACATCCAAAACATGTGACTCTCTCGCATCGATGTTTTTCTCTCTCTCTC